CTTTCCCTTCCTGACAGGTCACAGCAGGTAAGTGTTATCACAGTTCCTGGCCTGCATCCATATGGCAGGCTCTCCCCACCAACTGCCTCACTGTGGACAAACTTGCTGCGGGCTCCAGTCCTGCTCCTGGAGGCTTTAGCTTTGCTGAAGCTTCATCATTCAGTCTTCATCTCCATGACTTCCAGAAACATTTCAATGAAGAAATGATTACTCTGTGGCTCAAGCCAGAATTTTGGATTCTTTTAAACTTCCCTTTTCTCTTTTTCTCTTTCTCCCCCTCTGCAGGATGGTGGAGTACTCCCTGGATCTCCAGAACATTAACTTGTCTGCAATCCGTACTGTGCGTGTCCTGAGACCCCTGAAAGCTATCAACCGTGTGCCTAGTAAGTCGTGCTTCCCTCTCACACTTGCTCAGGCTGGGTTGTGCCTGACCAGGAAGGCTGTGTGTGGTGATGTTCTTCAGACAGGGTTCAGGTGCAAACTGAGAGAATGCTGCTGCACAGCGTGTGCAGGCTTTTCCCCATCATGGGGCCAAGAAGTGTAGTTTGATGGGAGGGAAAACTACAGTCTCCCAGCATATTTCCCCTGGTCATCCTTCATGCCACACTGTTGGCTTAGGAGCTGAAGCTGAACAATGTGAGGTAAAGGAAAGGAGTTTTTCTTGCTTTTTATAATCGCAGGTTTGATGCTGTCTGCAATGCCAAAAACGGGGATGTGTGTGAGATCTGCAGTGGGGTGAGCTGGGGAAGCTGGGAGAATTTTCTCAGGCTGTCACACACCCTTCCACATTCTCTCATCTGAAAATTTTCCACACCGATACAGCTTAGGGGCACGTAGCACCAGCTATTTTTTCCTCTCTTCCTCACCCTGTGCTTTGTACTCCTTTTGTGCTGACTGTCCCTCCTGTGAGCTGGTGTGTGTGTACGAGCCAGGTTGAGCGCCACTTGGCACAGGGCTGCTGGTGCTGTAGGGGGGCCTGGATGTGTCAGCAGCCCAATTGCTGCTCGCCGGGGCCGTTCAGGTTTGAGATGCGGTCCCCCACTCAGGTCTGCATGGAGACCAGGGAGGAGCTGCAGCTCTGGCATGTGCCACGTATGTGTGATGCTCCTAGAGTAGAGGGACACCTTCCATAACCCTCACTTTATCCCTTCCCAGAGGATGAGGACAAGACCAACCCCTTCATTGTGCTTTGCAGTTTTTATTGGTGCTGAACTGTTTCTTCCCTCTTCTTCCCTTCCTTTGCCTCTCTTTTTTTTTAAATTTATTTTTATTTTTCTCAAGTCAGTGTTTTTCTCCCTGCAATCCTGGAGTGAGTAAGCAGGCCCTGCTATTGTTATTTAACTGCAGGTAACATTGATGGAGGTGGCTGAGGCTTCACAGTGGTTGTATCCAGGTGGATGGAAGTGGAACTGGTGGACAGGTTGCGTGCCGTTGGGAGCAGGGGCTTGCAAGAGCACTGAACTTGGTCTGCTGTGTCACTCTGTTTCTGACTGTTCCCGGTGCTAAGACACCAGCTGCTACCAGCAATCATGTCAGACTTTAGGCATTTCTTTTGCAAGGTTTTCTGTCTTGCAGAATGGCAGGCAGTCTCTGCTCCTCCCCATAATCTCCCTGATCAGGTTGTCTGCAGGGGCTAAGACCTTGCCAGAGCTATCCTTATCCTCTTATTGAGTTCAGATGCTCCTTTTTCTTTTCCAGATCTGATAAAGTTTGCACAGTCAACTTCCTAGTCTGCATCATATGTTTTTCCTTGTGCCAAAGACACTTTCTCAATGCCACCTGTTTCTTGAATGTGCTGTAGAGGTGGATTTCTGGGTCTCTGTCTCCATGCAAGGTCCTTCTAAAAAGAGGTTGTTTTCTTCTTTCTGGGTGTATTTTTATCTCTGAGGAACAGCCACAGCCTCTGTACCAGAGGTGCTGAAAGATGAGATGGAGGAACCGAGACACAGTCCTGTGTGCCCAGCATGGCAGGAGAGTGCCAAGCAGAGGAGCATCTCATCCGAGCACCAAGCACACATCTAGATATATAATAGGTCCATGATGCAGTGATAAAGAACAACATTTTGGCTATTGACTGTCGGCAAAACAACTTCCCCAGCCTGCCTCTATCTCTCTGGCCTGTCTCCAGGGAGGAGAGGGCTGGGAGCCAGCCATGGTTCTGGCTTTGGGCATGCACAGTGACAACAGGTGGGCAACTCTTCTTGCAGAGAGGAGGCCAGGAACTCATGCATGGCAGGCTTGCCCCTTCCAAGGAAGCATACGGCTGCCTGTGTGAGGGCAGCACAGTCCTCATGTTATGCAGTCCCCTTTCCTCTCTGCTTCATAAGGAGTCCTGTGAGTCTGTGCTCAAACACTACTTTGAAGCTGACCCCTGTTATCAGGATAGACTTAACCTTGGTTGTGAGTGGGAACATCTTGAATGATGTCAAGTTAACTCCTGCAGACATCTGCTATGTTAATTTCTGGACACCAGCAGTCAGAAGCAAAGCTCCTAGTCTTGTTTTATTCCTATTTATCAGCTGGGAGGAGCAGTGTGAGCCGTGTTGGAACTGACCCACCAGGGACCTGCTCCATGCATCCATGCGGAGGCACCAGGGACGCCTTTGATCATCTTGCCTGACCTTTGCAGAGCACAGGTTGTTGAATTTCCCCTGACTGTCCAGCTGTGACACTGCCTGCCTGCTCCTTTTTTTGGTATAATATTCTCCCTATATGAAATTAGTGCTGTTTTCATTTCTACTCTGTGGTTAAACCTTTATGTATCTTTCTCACTACATAAATCTGTGTTTATATGCAGAGAACATTTCGGAAGAAAGACATCCTGCCACTAATTAAAATAAATTAAAAAATTAAAATATCAGATTCCCTGAGAGAGGAAGCACTGATTTCAGGGCTGAAATCTGACAAAGAGACTGTAAACAAAGGCTTGTGATAAACGGGTATGAGCTGTGTTGAAAGAAGGTGCCTAGTGGGGTACAGCAACCATAATGAATGGGGTCTTTGGCCACAAATATTTTTAAATTTCTTTTTAAAGTTCTTCGTTACAGATTTGAAGCAAGCAGAAGGTCTTTTAGTGAGGTGTATTGATGGTATGAAGCTGGAGGAGTTGCAGGAGCTAGCAAAGAAAGAGTAACAGTGGGAGGGCAGATGAAGATTGAGGACTTGGTGGAGCATGAGATATTTGAGGAGTGGCACAGAAGTTAATCCCAAAGGCAAATATTTGGCCATGTTCAGGAGGCTGCAATGGGACAACATGGCCCAGCATTCACAGGTGGCCATTTCAAAGGCTTCCACATGGGCATCCAGGTAGGGACTGATTTTCACAGAGGACTCTGACTGTGTGGACTAAATAACAGCAGTTTATTATCAGAAGAAAGGCAAAAGTGATTAGGAACTTGAGTGATTACTGCGTATGCAGAAGAGTGTTGAAGTGGTCTGCCTGGATACATTATTTAGTGCCCAAAGAACAGTAACACTCTGCTAATCAGCCAGGGTTTGAAAACTGCATCTACTGAAGAGAGAAATTTCTGGAGAAATTTTGTACTACATAAAGCAAAAAAAAGAAGCCATGCCAGAAAATCAGGAGGGAGGGAAAGTCATTGTGACTCTAAGGAAAAAGTAGCAACATGATAGAGGAAAAAGTACCACCTGTTAAATAAACTTATTTTATATTCTTGGCAGGTGGACAAGGCTGAAGCTTAAATACCCAAATTGAATATCAATTCTAAATTTTGCTTACCTGTTTTCCTTCTTAACATGTTGCTTACAGTTAGGCTCATGAGGCTTTGAAACAACATCCCACAAGGAGCTGACAAATGCTATTTGTGTGTGCCATTCCCATTAGGTATAGTGTAAAGGACTCTCCTACCTGAATCATAACAGACAAAGAAAAAGGCATCCAATGTAACAAAAAGATGGCAAATGTCCATTAAGGAAGAAGTTCTCTACCCACTTCATATTTAGGCTGTAAAACTTGCTGCCATGGGGAGTCATTCCAGCCCCAGATGAAGAGGCATTGTGTAAGTAAAGTAAAATGTTGATTGTCTGAGGGATGAGACACCACGTGGAGACACTTCTAGGTTTCAAACTTCCTTGCTTCAGCATTAAAGCTGATCTTTGGTTATTGATTATCAGTAATTGATTGCATTTCTTGCACTTCTCAGCAGGATGTGCTACTGACCGTTTTGGATTTCACTTCTGGATGAACAAGTATTAGCTCTGCCCCACCTGATAATTTCTCCATTCACATGTCATCTTTGAAAAAGACTAGAGAAAATATGAGATGCCCTATTTTTTTTAATACGTATTGCATCTTCATTACTATTCCTGCTTATCTTTTGCATTCCTGACTACAGCCCCAGGAATGCTGCCTTTCTGGGTTTTGTTTGAAAAGGCATGAAACAAAAAATTAGAGACTGTTCTGGCCCTGTTAGCTTGTGATGCAATTCCACTGTGGTAAACCGGTGTTGACAAGCCCTGCAAGTCACCAAACTAGTGTAAAGAAGAAAAAAATACCCTCCAGGTCTCTGACAGAGGTAGTTACTTTCTGCTTTGGGCATGGCTGTGTCCTGGGTTTCGGGTGAAATTCCGCATCCATTTGTTATTACCATCCTTTTGCAATTGTGTGGCAGGTTGCTAGGTGAAATGCTGCTGTCTCTGCTAAGGCATTTCACTTGTGGGGAGGCTGGTTTTGTTTTATTTCTGCCTGCTTTTACACAGGGAGACTGTTGTGCTTTCTGATCATTGGAATTTTGCTTGTTATCATAGTTGGTTTTTTTTATATGGATGCAGAAAACGTTTCTTCAGGTTCTTCTTTCTTGTTGCACTGGTCTTATGCAAAGAAGAGTCCTTGCATTGCATTTGATGTCTTCCAGTTTCCACTCACGATTTAGTAACTGATTCAGCATTTGGGAGAAGATTGCTTCAGCTGAGCACACTGTATGGAAGGGAAGGAGGCTGCTGCTGAGTGTTGCATAGCAACTTTATTTAATAGAAAGTGTATACATGTGCTAATGCTGGGCTTGTAAAGACAGTAATACTTATGTGGTGCTATAGGCATTAGAAATATAATGTTATATTTGTATTACTAGCTGTGCAGGAAATAGAATGTCAGATTTGTGGGAAGTTCTGCTCTTTCTAAACATCTATTTTCTCAGTTAGAATAGGCATAAGTGTTTCCCATCCATTTTACTGTGGTTTTATTCTGCCTAATTTTAGGTGGTTTGTTTGGTTTTTTGATTTATTTTTTTTTCCTATATTTTGTCATGACAAAGAAGTTTAAAAACCAAAAGACCTCAACCATGCCATGTAGAACTGTTGAAATAGAACATTTCAACATTATAAAAATGCTTTCCTCTCCTCTGGCCCTCCTTTTCTTTTTGCT